TTGGGTTGCTCTACGTCCCTGGCGCGAACAGGAGTGAGTGTGGATAGAGGAAGGCTGCTTGTGTCGCTTCCTCTGTCTGCCAAACGAGCAGCTGAGAGGAAGTTTTTCAAGCTATTTGCATCAGCCTAGAAATAAATAAATTTAATAACGTTAAAGACAGTTTGATAGATGAACAAGTAACAGAAACAGCAGAGTTTCACAGTTTCTTCTTGGGTGGTTGTGTATGAACCACTTTGAAATATCTAACCTAAATTCACTAGCCTAGAATATCCTGACACACTTCCTTTGAATGAACATGATGAACTTTTTGCTGTTGGGAATAAAAAATGTGTGAGTGATTCAGGATGGAAAGTACAAGGATTAGATGCCATTTCTGAAAACTTGTACAATCCAATACTCAACGTTTTTAAACACTGAAATGTTCATTTAAATTTAAAAGGTATCGTCATGTTTTTAGGCCAAAGTCTCTGTTCGGGGTATCATGGTGTTTATAAAATTGTGGCTTGGCAGGGTAATTGGACTTTTTGTTTTCCTTGTTTACCTGCATTATGTGGTGTCAGTCAGTTTGTGGGTATGTGAGTGTGTTTCTGTCAATGTGACAGGTTGAACTATGTTAGAATCTGGGTGAAAGGTCACCACTGTTTGAAAACAACCAGAAGAGCTTTACAGCAGCTGGAAACAATGAGGCTGCTATGGTGTCTATCCAGGCACTGGCTGCAGTCAAAACAAGGGTATGTGTCTGTCTCGTTGAAAAATTAGCACGTGAACAGCCTGACTCTTGTCTCTGACTCCTGTGTTGTTCTCTCCCTGTATGGTAAGTCTTAGAAAAGAGTAAACAACACGATTAATAAGTGTACTTCTTACACTTTTCAACAAAAGACCTGCATATGTCATATGTCATTTTTTAATCACCTGTGACTAATTTTTCTAAGAAATGAGAATGAAATTGCAACTTCATAAGTCTGAAGATCTTGTTCCCCACTTATAAACACCTTCGTGCACAGACTGTTATTACAACACGCTGGATGACGTACCTTGCTCAAACAAATGTCAACAGCAGGTTCCTTTAATCTCACAGTGGCCTTGCCTTCTTCCACAAACCACGTGAAGAACTTCTCTATGTTGTCTTTTAGCTGCAATAAAAAGTTGGCAGATGTGAGTAAAGGAAAAATCCATTTCACAACATTAGGGTGTGCAATGAGTGAATCACTTTACAAGTGTAGACAGGATTACTGAAAGCGTTTCAACCTTTATGTCATCAAGCTGGTTTAGACTGAATTTAGGGAGGTATGACTCAGAGCTATAAATCAGAGACAAGTTTTTGAGAAACAATAACAAAAAACAATACTTCCTATGGTTTCCAATCTAGGTCTTTTTGAGAAAGACAACGATGAATGATTAAATAAAAGTAGATTTAAGTGGCTCTGGGGATTGAGTAAACTGAAACGCAAAAATACAGTCAATAAAGGTTGATGTTTTGCCAATGCCTGTGTGATACAGTAAATTTAAAAAAGAAACGATGACAGAAGATCTGGTTATGGGTTGATAAATTAATACCATGGCCTCTCATTTTTATGTCTTTTTGAACAATACTCATTAGAACAGCTAAGAGGAATGTAGCATGTAAATAAGATGACCTTGCACAAACTAAAATGCTTTATGTGACCAAGGGATTTAGTCTGTGTACAAATGTATCAGACTGTATATATTTCCTTTTTGCATCAAGATATTTTCTTTTTTTGATACTTATAGTTGAAAGGAGGAAAAGACCAAAAACAACATAAGGGAGAATAACAGTCACAAAACTACTGCTGAGCTGATGTTAATGAATAAATGTTTCACTCATCAGGTCAGTAACAACATGACTTCATGTACAATCTTTGCCCTTAATCGGAGGGCTGACTCAGGCAAATTTAATCCTTATGTTTAAATAAATAAAATAAAATAATAGCATATAAATGCTGGGATAGTCTCGAGTCCCCTGCCCCAAGACAGAGGACAAAAAGTTTAGAAAATGGGTGGATCTGTGGCTGAAACATAAACAGATACTACATAAACAGACTCAAAATAACAAAAGATCCTAGACTTGTGAGCAGGAAATGTGAAAAGAACTGTCATTCAATACATTACTACAAGATGTGTTTAATGAGGCTAAACTAAATTTAACATTGGTTGTCGTTGTCATTGTGTTTTTGTACTCTTAAAGCTGCTCTTGTATCTCTCTATGATGGAGGGTATTATTAGCATAGGTTACTCTGTTGTTTTCAGACTTTATCTGGCCTTGAAATATCAGGCCTTGAGTTTAATATAAAAAAAAAAAAACCCTCTTGAATTTTACTTGAAGCAGCTTGAACAGTAATATAACCAGAAGGATCTTGCAATCAGCCTGATTTGGAAAACAACAGAGGCCACACACCCCAGGATATATTATAAATGCAACCCCAGCTGTGACAACCAACAAATACAGTATAGTTTCTAACAACAACAACAACAACAACACAGACCTTGTACTTTGATCCTGCCCTGTCTTTTGCTGTGCAGATCATCATGTAGATGTTGCTGCGCTGACTCGTCTTGTCCAAATGCCTCCCGATGGAGAGCACCGCTCTCGTTCCCTTCCCTCGACTTCTCATCCCAAACGTGGGGAGCATCCGATTCACCACCTCGACATCGCACTGCAGCTTCATCGCAACCAGTTCACCAAAGACTGAAATCCGGCTTAATGCCGAGTCCGAGTCAACTAAGGATCTAAATGCATACCAGAGCAGGAAAACTTTCGCGAAAAAGTAACGCTAGCTGGTTACTTACGCACCGGAGCTGGTGACAGACTAACATCCGTGGTCGACATGGATGTCAACAACAGCAGCTTTCTCTCTCCGCAGGGCAGCAACTGCCTCTGAAAGCCCGGAGAAGACACCTCATGCAGCAGGAATACTACAACTTTCGAGGGTAGCTGCAGTTTTCTTGTCAGTATCTTAACGAACTTTAACTATAACTATATTGTCTTAAACAGTTTTCGGGTGTCAGTTGGTCAGTTAGCTGCCGCGCTAGCACGATCCCGCGCGCTTGGGAAATGACGTCAGTGAGGCGGGCGTTAATGCTACTCGCACGCACATTGGACTGCAGAGGGACAGACCCCAGAACGGCTTCAGGTTACATTTAACAAGCGACACAGCTGTGTGCTGGTGATGTTTGACTGCGCAAAGTATCAATAATAAAAACACGACCAATAATCAGCTCCAGTGGTGGAGGAAGTGTTCAGACAATTATAACTTCAAAAAAACTAACCAACACCAAGTTAAATTATGTCTCAAGTGAACTCATCATCTTAGTCCATGTGTATAATATATTTTTTTTCTAGAGGTTTTGATTTGGAGTGATATTTACTGTTGATGTCAAACTCCATTAACTGAAGAAGACCATGAGATGTCGTTTAAAGCTCCTGAATAAGCAGTTAAATGGTCCTTTAGCTCAGATTTTTCTTAAACTACTATTTCCAAGGTACAACTGAAGAATGAGGCTTTACTGTATCTACATGGGTTGGTAAAACATTAGTTTGGTTAATAACAATTCATTGGATTGATACATGAATCAATGAAGATATATGAAAACATATTTTAAACACACGAAAACCAACCTCATAACCATAACCATAGGCCTATAACGTAACCATACTGTAAATATAGTCCTTCAAAATGGTGACATCTAGTGGTCAGCAGAAAGAAAGATGTTCCCCAAAAACTATACTATATATATTATACTATACTATACTAATAATCTCATAATATAATATATAGAAGACCATAACTCTGAATGAGGCTATGCTTCATACTGTGTACTTTAATTCTGACTTTGCTGATATTAGTTCTTCACTTTTACTAAAGTAAACTATACTACTATAATATATTCAATCAGATTCAATCAGGTGTTGATTTTTGTCATTTTTGTGGTGCTGGTTCCCGAGTTTTTTTCACGACATCATGCCTTTCTGTCTCCTCTTCCCATCGTGGGGACTGGAAAAATATTAACAGTGAAGTTTGACAGTGGCCTCCTGCTTTTGTTTCAAGCTAAAGTTTTGTGTACAGATGTGGGGCCTCTACAGGGCTTCTCATTAAGATAGCACAAACCCTATTTGCACAAACCACCCTCTGCCTTGCAGCCACAATGAAAAGTTGTTGTTTGGGGTAATTGAATATCAGCGTATTTACTCGTGAATCTATCCACAGTGTTTCTCCTCTTGCATTTGTACTTGGGGACTGCAGAGGCACCAGTGAGCCGTGAGTCTGAGAGTGTCTGACATCGTCACCTCAGATCAACAAGATCACAGGAGAAACTTAACTCTGATCTCCCTTCTTTCTAATCTTCTGTACTGATGCACACAAGAAGCACAAGAAGCAAGTTTGTGACCTTAAAAAAAAAAAAAAGGAATTTGCCACACTGATAAGATTCATTGTATGATTTTCAAGTTTTTAATCAACTCATTTGAGAGAGAGAGAGAAAAAAACATCACCTGCAATTCCATCCTGTTATGTTACGTCTTCAGACTGCTCCTTATATTATTACTATGTGTTTTCACTTTGAAAACATTCTTTTCAGTCGGACAAGGTACAAGTGAACAGATTCATATACCTTACAAGTTGATATTAAATACTTATATGCAATTACCCTTCACTTAATGTTCTCCACTCCACTTATCTCTCATTGATCATTACTAAAATAATAATAAATAAAACAAAAAACAGAATACTCATGTCTTTGGTTTCACCTTGCTCTCTATTAATAAACTAAAAGACAAAACCTTTGGTAAAAACATGCAGCTTTTCTTTTTTTTCATTCTTACATATGCCTCTAGGTGGGATGTACCCCCCACATATATACTTGACAGACATAAGAACAGGTTAAATTTAATTTCCCTTGATTTTTGAAAAATATCAGTGATGACGTGTGGGAATGCTCAGATCGTGCAGTGTTATTTATCAAAGGTATATATGCACCAATCCTCATCAGTTTTTGACAGTTATCATTTACTTATACACATGACAGAGTCTTGCTACCACAAGGAGAGTATGACAATGCCAAGGTGACAGTGTCCCAGTGCATGTAGCTACATCACACCTGCATCTGTTACTTTTGCTTCATATTTACAGTGGGATTTCCTGAAAGAGCACATAGTCTCCATAGATCTTCATTAATGTCATTCTGTCTATCCAACAGTGACCGACTCTGCATCACCATCCTTTATTACTGATCTATCTTGACTTATCAGTCAGTGTCAGTTTGTCCTTTACAGAGCCGTCTCCACACTGGACGACCCTCTCCGTATATAATAACGCCTCACCTCCCCCCCGTCCTCACTGCCACAGCCCTCAGGCCGATGTACAATGAGAACTGGGAAGAACCGAGCGTCCCTATAAGTAGGCGGGCTGTCGCTGAGGGCTAGCTGGCTGGAGTCGGACCTGTAGCACTGCTCATCCACGCAGCAGGGGTCCGTCAGATTGCTGCTGCGGCTCCTCCACAGAGCCACAGTGCGATGGGAGCCGTACATGCGGCAGAGAGAGAGGCGAGACGTGTCCGACGAGAGGTGGGACTGGAACAGTGCTCCCCGGCAGGAGAAGATGGAGGAGCAGCTGGAGCTTGTGACGGTCCTCCTCCTGCCTCCCCCGTCTCCTTGTCCAGTCAGCTCGCTGCATTGCTCGCAATCAACCTGGCTTTGGAGAGCGCCGTAACTCTGTGCAGTCTGGCTGCTGTCCAACAGGAAGCAGTTCGAGGATGAGGTGCATTCAGTGTCGTGTAGTGAAACAGAGTCTGCTGTGCTCATGTTTATCAGCATGGCCTCCGAGTAGCTGGGAATCACCTGTCGGTTGCAGCGTATGTGCCACTCCATTTCAGTGCTGTCCAGTGTGTCTACTCTGGGGACAGAACAAACAGTGTTATTCCTCACAGGCCTGTCTTCATCCAGAGGAGAGGGGCTGCTCTGGCTGTACTCTAACCCAAAAAGTTTCTCTATGCGGTAGTGCACATAAGCGGTGCGGTACTCTATGAGCACTCTCAGAGGCCAGGACAGCATGAAGAGAGCTGCCAGCCAGAAGGCAACCTGGGAAGTGTACCAAGGCATCCTGTCTGGGTCTACAAAGGCTATCAGGTTTTCTCTGAAGTCCACATTCTTCAGCTGCATCCCCTCCCTGGCCTCCATGTAATCGTCCAAACCCTCGATCTCAGAGAAGAACCTGGCTCTCTGGTTGAGGTAATCATTTTCTGGGCCTGCCTCTGTGAAGCTGAAACACTTGGTGAAGCGCAGGCGAGTTGCCGGAAATCCCTCCAAGCCTCTGAGGTCACGCGATACATCCTTCATCCCACAGTGGCTGTAGTCAAACTCTCCCTCTGCCACATGCGTGTTCACCCTCTCATGGTACACCTGTGTGGTGGTGTAGGCGTCCCCGTTACGGTATCGAGTGACTTGCCGAGTCCGTCGGACAAAATGGTAGCTGATAGCCTTCCACCATATGCAGGGCTGGGCCTGCCGCATCCGCAGCACACGCTCATACACGCTGTCCACATCTGCTTTGCACTGCAGGTCGCTCCTGGCCCTGCAGTGCCAGCACTCCACCATGTACAACACATAGAGCATGAGCAGGAAAGCCAGAGGGATGTAGATGTAGCCGTCAGAGCAGGGGCTGTCGTGGTAGATCATTGAGTGTCCTCCAACGCCCATCCCAGACGCCCCCCGTAGGGAGGAGGTGAAGGAGGCTGTGAAGGAGGAGGTGAGGGCGGGGTTGAAGCTGATCTTGGTGACCCGGGTGAGCTGACACCAGGCCACCGCGCCCATGCAGCTGTACATGAGCAGGGAGAGCAGCAGGCAGCGCCAATGGGACTCTCGGCAGACACAAGCACCCAGGGACTGCTTCACTGGACGCTGCTGCAGAGACAGAGAGAGAGAGTCATAAAGAAAAGGCACTTAGAGCAATGAGCCCCTGAAACATGGCCGTGGTATCATGACTTGCAGTAGAAATGCAAATGAACTTGGCTGCACTATAAATGGCCAAGCTTTTCCATACCTAAGCACAAAGTAAATCAAACTAAAGAAAGCTCAGTGGAATTCAATTAAACCATGTAGTGTCCCGGTGAGGCTGTGAGTCAATGCAGCTGACAGATAAATATTAACTGAACTGTTTTCACACATCTATCTCTGAAATTATTTTAATTTATATTGCAGTAGGGCAAATGTACTTGCTAGAAAGGATGCCGCATTAAAACCACACTGTAACGCTTATCTATATGCAGACAGAACCGTAAAAATCTAGGAGATTCTACCCACAGTTAGAAACAGAGCCTGATTGAAACTGGGTTTTTCATGCAGATACCTATATTGATATTTGAGATTTAAACATTTTAAAACAATATATTAGCGAATATTAATTTTGTAACATGAACAAACATTTGTGATGAGTATCGCACACTGAACGCTACATTTTACAGTGTAAATAACAATCTTGCCAGTGCTCTCTGGTGTACATACTATGACACAGTTACTTTTTTTTTCTTTGGGTTTGTTCTGTTTTCTTCTGTTAGATGTGGATTTGATTTTTTGGACAATAAGTTGAAAACATCTAAACATGTTACCTTGGGCTTGGGAACTTGTGATGAGCATTTGTAGATTAATACATGATTTAAAAAAAAAAAAAAAAAAAATGAAGCAATCGATTGGTGACGGAAACAATCATCACTTGCAGCCCAACATGACAAGAATGTTACTAAGTATATGTACTATACATAAATACAGTTTGTAAATTACTTGTACTTTACTTGAGCATTTATTTTCAAGCTAATACATACTGTACTTCTTGTCCACAGATTGAAATAATTTACTTTTCGTTCTACATATATTTACTAGTTAATAAATAATTGATCAACAACTGCATCAATAGCTGATATAATATGGCACATTATAAGACATATAAATTATACAATATATAAAATACTTAAAATTAGGTCCACCTTAACCGATATACACATATAAACACATAAACACTAAACTACTGCTTACATGTCAACACATGAGTTTTAATATAATATAATATAATATAATACACATCTGTACATCTCTCTCTGCTCTACACTTCATCTGTAGTACTGCTGGTTAGCTCAGAGCAGACAAACAGAAACAGAAAGTGCTCACCTTTGCAATACTGACCACAAGTCAAATTATCCCATTCAGCAGAGACACTGGCCCAAAGCTATTTCATCAGTAACACTAACAGTAAAAGAAGCTGGAGCGTAACCCTTTATGCATGAAGAGACTGAACCAGGAGTGAAACATTCACTGTAACTCGTTGCAAATGGAATTGGATCCCATCCTGTCAGTCACATTCATGGAGATTTCTGAATATTGTAATATTATTGTTTGTTTTTAGAGAGACATTTCTCCCTATGAGATCCAGTGATGTTGTACACAACCTCTGGTGTTTTATGGAGTGAAAGGATTTATGCTGACAACCAGCCATCCATTACTGCACTGACACAGGGGTGGAGATGTCACTTTGCTGGTTCCTCCTCAGTTATTTATGGAGCAAACAGGGATTCAGTTCTTGTGTAGCAGAGAGGAGGGACTCTTCAGTGGTCCAGGCTGCAGACATTAAAGTCTATGTACAACCTTTACTCATTTACCTTAACAGCATATTGGGTGTTTTTTTTCCATCATGTTTTTATGCTATAATGATGGGAGCAAAAATCTCCCTTTAAATACTTCTTCTGATATTTTGTCAATTTCTAAATCTAGCCAAGGTTATCCCAGTCAAATAAATAAATAAATAAATGGGATCACAGTTTATCCTTGGTCACACCAGAAGAGTTTTTAAGCAGCTGAGTGAAATCTGTTGCCTCATGACACATGGGAAAATAGAGTTTATGAAAAAGGCACAAGTTGCTTGTACCTAATGTTTACTTCAATCTACTCAACATGACCAAGTTATATGGATAATGGCTCTGAAGACAACTTGTGTCATTTTACTGACCCTGCATGGCCGGCGGCACACCGCCAATTGCCCAGATGGATGGAGTAATTGGCAAAAAAGACAGAAAGGATTGTGGAGCAAATGCAGCCACATGCAGTTACACTTCAAATGGACTTATCAACACTAAGGAGGGGCTTTGCACAAAAGATGTAACTCTCTTTGGAGCAAAATATATCCATTTGTTAATGGGAGTACCTTTCCACATCACTGGAGTCTACTGCCACGATGTGAAATGGACTATTTTGACATTTCAAACAAGCAGAAACGCTGTTTGGCTGCAGGTGCAAGCGGTTGTACTGTAATGGCAGAGAGGGGATATCAAAGGATAGCATTCATTTTCTAGTGAGCTACTACAGCACAGAAATCAAAATATAGTGATTTAAATGTTGAGCCACACAAAAGAACATTTGTATATTTTTAAGTAAAGTAAAACATATGGTTAGGAAACTTGTATCTTATTGTGGCCTTGTTCTATGTTGCAGGAACAGGTAGTTTATGGTTCATTGCTTACTTTATGTCATTGCTTACTTTTCTTGAAGTCAGTCAGTTATGAGAACTGTCAGGTATACAGTCTCAGCTGATATTTGTACATAAGTGTCTTTTCTTTTACTTAAAGCTAAGATAAAGAATTGCTTGTACCTACCTCCTCCGGGACATCCCTCTCAGCCGGTGAGTCTTCCTCCTCCTCCTCCTCCTCCTCCTCCTCCTGCTCCTGCTCCTGCCCCTGGTCCTGCTCCTGCTCCTGCTCCTGCCCCTCTCCCTCAGCAACATTGGGAGCGCTGGCCGTCGTGTCCTCCGCAGAGTCCAGTTCGGAAGAGAGCATGCTGCACTTTTCGCATGTCAGAGAGAGATTATAAACTCACTCCTTCTTATTCACATGCTCTGCTCTAGATATCTTTCCGTTTGCTCCCCCGTTTTGTGCCCCCTTCAGCCCCACAGCGTCTGGGCCGAAGCCAGCAGGCTGCTGCTGCTGCGGCTGCTGTTGCTGCTGCTGCACGGAGCGGGGATCCCGTGGTGGTCCTCCCGACTGGCAGGACGGAGGGGGGCGGGGTTGAGGGATTTCACCGCAGCAGAGACAGCAGAGGTTGACCATGATGCAGTTAGCGAGGCTTGTTGTCAGTGGCCAATGGTCTGCAGTTGAAATTACCTAATAAAACCATAAATCATAAATAAAACAAACAACATTGCCCTGTGTTCATCCAGGTACCGGTTGTCCAGTCTTCTGCAGGAGGAGCGGGGGTGGTGGGTGGGGGGTATCTTCTCTAGTATATCCTGGATGTTCCGCGACATAAATTACAGAGGATACATTAAATATTCGCTAACAACTCAGCAAACTCAATATTGTAAGCCTTCTATGCCTCTAAATTACCTACTAATTTGTGACAGAAGGACGTCGACACGCCTTCACTTCTCGGGCGGAGCTCTTATTTTGAAGGTGAGGTTTGGTGTCACATTAAAAATCTTCCGTGTGTTCCCCGAGTGTTGAGTATCACGGATCCTGCGCTTAACTGAAGGTTAGCTAACACAACCGTTAAACGCTTTAACGCAACAAAAACAGTCTCACTGTGGTGATACTTTTTGGTAATGTTTTGGATAACTTTCAAGCTTCGACTGAATCTTAGCTAACGTTAAGATAACGTTAACTGTACGTCTCATTCATCTCCGGTGCGTGTCCGATGTAAACTTCAGTACACATGAAAACAAATGAGTTTTGTTTAGCTAACATTAGATATGGGTAATTTATTTGGTTAAATAGTTTAAGTTCGTCGCTTTCTGTCCTTGCTAACCTAGATAGCGTCTGTTCCCAATATTATTAGCCACGCTAACCAAGTTCAGCCTAAAGTCATGTGCAGATATGAGATTATGTTGAATTCACATTATAATATTGGATTAAGATGGTCTCAAATCTGCCAGACAAAGCTATCAGCTAAACATAGTATGGTGAGCCAGAGTTAGCTTGAATGGGTTTTAGTTAATTTTCCGATCTCATCCTTTATCTGTCATCAGGGGCATAGCTGTTATTTTGTGTTCACCCAGCAGTTTTGGGCCCCTTGAATCTACACCTTCATCATCGTCACCTTTCACTCCAGCAGTTTTGTGCCAAAGTCTGTTTCTTCATCAAGCAGTGTTAGGTGTTTGAGAGATAAATGGTTGGGCTCAGGCTGAAGTAGACACTTGTGGATATTCGACACAACTCTTGCAATGCCATTGATACTGTGTTTTGTGTACTTCAGAGGGATGTTGCGGCGTCCCAAGCCAACCGACTCGGAGGCAGACCTCCTGAGGCAGCAGGAGCAGTTTCTGACCTCTGGTGCCCCGTCTGCTGCCAATGTGGTTCGTCGTCCTGACAAGAGGAGAGGCGAGGCTGGAGGGGGAGGAGGAGAACCCAACGGGGAGAACGAGGGAAGTCAGAGGGATGTTGTCACCATAGAAGGTATGAAAGTTTTACAGACTGACAGTCCACAACATTTTGGGGTTTTTCCCTGACTCAACATGAGGCTAAGATGGTCCTTAACTGATGTAATAACCATGTCAAATTTTTAAGGAAAATGTAACATCTGACAACAATGAAGAGCAAATATTTGTGGCATATCAATAAGATTCATTAATATTACACCAAAAATAATATTCATGTGTATGTTTTTCTGTAGATCTTCCAGACCAGCTCCCTTCTCTGACACCAGCCCCCCCGAAGAAGTCTCGTTTTAAAGCCAGTCGTGTCACCTTCGAGGATGAGGATGCTGAGCAGAGGCTGGACAGGCACGACACTCACATCAGTGCTGTTCTCTCCAGGATCGTTGTAAGTTCTGGTTTTAAAAGTCTAACCCATACTTTCCTCAATAATGGGAAGTGAGGAATCAGTGACTTTAAACTCCATGAAGTAGCTGATATTGGCAGTTGGACCTCACCCAGTATAAATGCAAGTTGTGTGTCACACGCATCTTGTGCTTGTTCTTCTCAGTTCTTCAAAGTTTGTTTCTTTTCACATAATACATAGTTTTAGTTTTTTTCACCCATGAATAAATAACATTATTCTTTATTTCCAGGAGCGAGATACCAGCTCTACTCCAATATCTCTACCAGCATTCACAGGCATGGCTTTCCCCAAAGTACTACACCGCTCAGAAACCAGCAGTCAGGTACTGAGATGTTAATGTCCCTTCTTCTCAAGCTGTTTGAATTTTGAGTGCTTAAGTCTTTAAATCAAGACAATTTAAAATTGCAGTAAACCATGGCCATTTAAAATTAAGACAAATATCACATAGTACTTTAAAAATGAATAATTTTACTGTTCATACTTGTGTCTATTGTTACATTAATTTGGCAGTGGGTAAAATGATCGTGGTTTACATGCATTGTAATATTTTAAGTCAATTACTCCTTCCGACCAGGTGCCTCTGTCTTCAGCCGGAGGAAAGAAAAGCATCTTTGCTCGTCAGATTGCAGCTCAGAGACTTAAGGAAAGAAAGACGCCATTACACTGTGCACCTGAAACTGGTCACACACCTGAACCCAGGGAGCAGAACCTCCCTCCTGAGACATGTATGGATACAGATCAGACTGATCCTGCAGGTGATCATATGAATTGTGTCCTAATTAATGAGAACAATGTTTTTTTTTGTTTTTTTTTCACCAAACACCCCTTTGGACATTATTTAATTCTCGCTCCTTTGGTTTCTCTAGAACCACCTGTAGTCTCAGGTCCCAGGCTGTTGTCTGGTCTGGGGCTTGGGGGCCCAGATAGCTCGGGGGAGACCATGAGGATCCATAGGGAGAACCAGGTCAAACTCCGGGCGATGTCTCAGTCTGAGATACTAGATGAGCAGAAGAAACTCTTATCTCAGCTTGGTAGGCAGTACTTCTCTACTTCTCCTGTTTTGTATCTTGACTAGTACATCAGAACCGCTTTTCCTTTTTGTAGGTACCACAGTGTATAACACGATTATTTCTGCTTCCCAGATCCGAGATTGGTGGAGTTTGTTAGATCTCGCAAAGCCCAGAGCGTCCTGTCCTCAGCCTCTCCATCCGGACGTCCCGAGGGCAAAATCAGAAAGGAAAATTTTCCTCTTGAAAGTGTGAGCAGAGAGTCAGAATCCTCCAGTGCTGCTGAGCTGTGTCAGAAACCCCAAGAAGTGGAGATGGAAGAAGAGGACGAGGAGGAGGAACTGTCACCGCCACCTGCTGTGATGAGTATGATGTATTCAAAATAAACCCTTTCATCACTTCTACCTTGCCAGTTCCTGCTCTCCAGATAAAAAATAACCAACAGGATTTAGGTCATGTGGATGACTAAGCTATATAATTATCTGACATCACCTCTTGCTTGGTGAATTTATAACCGTTTTGCTGAGGCTGTATAATCATTTGATCAGTGCTACATCTCAGAGCAGTAGCTCACACACCAGCTTACCTGGCTGTCTGCCTGCCATCTCTCCCTCCATCCCTGTCTCTGTCTGTCCCGATCTTCCCGCTCTTCACTTTCCTTCCCTCTTTCTCTCCACTCTCTCAAGCATCAACCTTCTAATGTGAGATGCCTCTGCTGCATGGCTCAAATCCAGACATAAAGCTGATCGTTGACTTCACTTTGTGTGATTAGCAGAAAGGCCAGACTGAGCCAGAAGTAGCCACTCTCTGCAATTAAGTTACTGCAGATCATTCAGAGAATACTCCCAGTGCTGATGAAAGTGTTGCTAATGGATCACATGAAGACAGATCTTGCACATCATTTATACCATTCTGTTTTACTGAGAAAAAACAAAAAAACAAAATGAAATGAGTAAAGCTGTTTACCCATTATTAAACGTTATTTATTGCCTCTTCTACCTGCCCTTCCACAAAAAACAATATATCCTCATTTTGGGTTGAGCCACTCGCTGCCTCAACTTCTTACAGAGCATCTTTAAACATAGCTGGATGAGAGTTTTTTCTGTCACATTACAACCCACCTCTCCAGGTCACTGTTTGTTGTCATAGCTACAACAGAGGACATTTGTGAATGCCGTTTGGCTCTGTGAAGCACTTTGTGACTCATGTCTGTGAAAAGTGCTATATAGATAAGCTTTACTTACTTAAAATTTTTGTACCAATTAATACAAACAGTCATACATTGTTAGCTAACATGCCTCCCCCCACTGTGTGTGTTTGTATGTACATGTGAATTCAGAGGAGGATCTGCTGGTGAAACCTCAGAAGGAATGGGTCCACATGGATAAGCTGGAGCCAGAGAAGCTGGAGTGGATGAGAGACTTGCCTGCACCCAGAAGGAAAGGAACCAAGCAGGTTAGGGAGATGTTTCTTACAATACCAGTCAGACAAAAAGAAACATGCCGCTTTCATTCATTTCTACTCAAAGCCTTAGTGACAGGTGAAAAGTGTTTTCCTGATTAAAACGCATTGTGTACACATTCTGTGGTTCTGTGTTTCCTGACAGGCCATGCAGGCTCGGTTTGACTTTGCTGGGAGCTTGATCCCACCCACTGAGGATCTTCCCACTCACCTGGGTCTGCACCATCATGGAGAGGAGCCAGAGGTCAGTAGGCACCAAGTTAAAGTACAAAAAAAGTCTCTTTTTATTTTAGTTTTTCCCCTTTGTGTTTGGATCTCACATAAGTGTCATAATGGTGGCTCACTGCTCCCGGTATAGCTCTTTTAGTTACCTGTATCGCCCATTTGAATGCAGTGTTTTGCGAGAGAGCACATTTATGAGGAAGTCTTTGAATCTCACAATCTTAAACATAACCTGCCCTTGATTGAAATGTCTGCCATAGCCTTGAGTGAATGTCATGGCCTTTAAATTTTGAGACTGGAAGCCAGGGTCATGTCAGAGTTTGTTTTTTAGACCCCTGGTCTTTTTTGTTTGTAATGATTTCATTCTTGACACTGAGGATTTCTCCCCCCAGCGGGCAGGTTACTCCCTGCAGGAGCTCTTCCTGCTGTCT